AACAGTACAAAATCTTACACTAATAAGGGAATACTCAACAAAGCTCCCTCTAGGCTTTGTTTCGGGAATATTTACCTATGAATATTGTTGTTAGACCCATATTTGGAAATGTGATTCAAGATGGCAGGTAACAATTGAAAGATTTATGAAATCAATTCCTTTTTCAGGTCAACAAATATGCCAGCAACTAAATACGTAAACTAATAAGAATGGCTAAAGCAAACAAACACACATAAGAGACAATTTTTACGTGGAAAACCTCTTCAAATAGAAGAGTAAAGCTACGGGACTTCTAGTCCATGAAAAATAGCTGTATTATATCAAGCGAGTGTTACAAAATCATCTTCAAACAATCACAATAACAGCAAGAGGAAAGAGAAAACAAGTAATACAACAAGAAAATGGAGAACAAATGAGAACGAAACAGGTACGGGTTCAGACAATGAAACATATTACAGCGTCCACTTGAAGACACTTTATGAGCCTTTCCGGATTTCTGCCATAGCTTTCCAAGGCAAAGAACAGAGGCACTGAAGAGACAAAGGTTCGTCTTATTATTTAGAAATGAATCAAATCAAAATAAATGAAATGCAAATCAACACAGTTTAATTTGTGCTTCATAATCATTACCTTTTCTTTTGATATACGTATTTTTTTCTCGTTCACATTCTCTCTCTAACTGCTTCTTGCATTTTAGAAAGTGAAGCATATAATCTTGTTCGCAACTGCTTCAAGACATGAATCAAAACAAAACAAATTAATTGCTACATGCATTCTTGTAAACGTTTTCCTGGTAGCAGTACGAGAAGTATGATGAAATATGTCAGAAACAAGAATGAAACAAAATAAGTTAGAACAAAGCAACCTGAAGAAAATGTAATTAGCGTAAAGAAAAGAGAGAATTTGGAGGACAAGGACTTACCAGCTTTGATGAACACTGAAATATACTGAATTCCAGCACCAGTCATTCTGTTTTCATTGCATTCCTCATCTCCTCCTAGATATTAGCAGAGTAAGAAGACAAGGAGTACATCAGAAGCTCCCACGAAAATAGAATTACTAACGAGCTAAACTTTGACTGCAAACCCAAAGTTATCAATTTATAAGTAATCTATTAAGAACACATGTATTATAAAGTAAGAGGACAAAGCACAAGTGAATAAGAACAAAAGAGAGCTCATTTTATCCAATTTCTGCCTTCAGTGTCTGTCATCATAATCCCTTCTTTGACTAAGAGTCCATCATATGTATAAGTATAACCAAATAAAAGAAATTGGGAAAAGAAGAAATTAACCCTTTAAAATACACTTGGCTCTTACATTTTCTTCAATAAGACTAGCTGAGGCAGAAGTTTTTCACTTCTCTGATTAAGCCATTGTTTGATAAATCCCTGAAACAAAACATCTCAATCTGTTCAATATCATTGATTCCTAGATGCTGATGGTTGGCCTTTTTACTCATTTCCATCAATTACATCTACAAAGCAAGATGAAAATATTGGAATGCCTTTTAAGGGGGAAAACATACAAAGTTATAAATCTATCATAACCACATTGAAGCTATTGAGACCGGTTTACGAGCAATCACTTGCACAGGGATCTCATTGTCAATTTCTTCTCTTCACTCCAGTTGTTGATTGCATGTCCATTATTACATCATCAAACTCAAAGTTGTACAGATAATTTATTCAAACAAGGTATAATATGTTTTAGAATCAAAGAAAAAGGTTTGAAAAGCCGTACCATCTTCCTTGTTTGTTGGCAATTGAATGAGATATTCTACCATAAAACCATAAAAGCCTAAGAATTGGTGGAAGAGTTGATCTGTTGGTTAATTCCAAGTAAAATTCAATGCTTTCCTCACTATTGCAAAATGTGTGTACACATAATCTATGGCACCAGGATCTGTACGTTTCAAGAAAAATTGAAAGGACTGCAGCCATGATTTATGCTAGTGAAGCTGCAGTGCTCTTGTCAATGGGAAAAGCATGTTCTCAAAATGTTGCAGTTCACAAAGTCATAAGGAGTCCAGACTCCAGATTTCATCATTAACAGTTTGCAAAGTAGCAAGTTGCAAAAACACCATAATCTCTAACCTGAAATGGAATAAATTCTTTGCTTAAAGTTTTGACTCAATATGAAATTAAATATGAAATTAAACCGATCAAATTTATAAATTGATTAAAGGCACATATGACTTCAAAGTAACAAGACAAACCTAGAGAAACTCTGGTGTAGGTTCTAACAAGAGAGAGCCACTGAAGAAATAACAGTTCAGTTTGCACAACAGATCAGGTATTCGGCACAGTTACCCCAAAGAAATTTCTATAACATGATTGAAAATGTGTCAATATAGATTTTTACAGATCATTCCTTAACCAAGTAAAGAAGAATATCCTTTTTGCTAAACTTATATGTAACTTTTATTGGTGAATCATAATCACTAAAGTGAAGTAAAATCCTGCTAAAATAAAATCAAATCTTAATTAAAAGATGATTTTTAGTTTCACAACCCACCTTTGTAGGGCAGTCCACTTAAACTGGCAATCCGGGACAGCTTAAGACTTTGATCAGCAAGACAAATGTCTATATACCAGTAAACTTGCACTTCAAAATGTGGTCATAATTCGAAAACAACATGGCTGTAGAATAGCTAAATCTGTTTATGAGCCTCAACAACTCAAAGAGAGGACTACTCATCTGGTTGGTCCCTAGTGTGAAAATTCCCTCCACTCATCATGATATTTTTTTGGTTTCAGATCAGGAAAATTAGATTGCCTGTAATTAGTTTAAGGAACATAGTTGAACAAAACTGAATTGAACAAAGAAAAACACAAAAGAAAAAAAAAAAAATCATACTCAAAATCTAAAAGTTGGTTTATAGAGAAAAGAAATCAGACCTCAAAAATGAAAGCTTTTGATTGTTAGTCTTGCTAGTCTTCTACTCCTTTAGAGATTTACAGTTGGCTAATCTAAGCATTTGATTTTGCATTAGTTCACAATTAGAGCATGGCTACTCAAAGAATTATGAAAATAACAAAGGACCTACTGGTAAAAAAACATAGCTATGGAATTGGAATGAAAATAAAAATGAACAGAAGGATTGTAAAAAGGAATTCAGGAACTGACTAGCCTTAGAGGAACCCTGAGGCCTGAGCAGATGCGCGTAAATATTTACCTCCGCCGTAAATCTAAATCTGCATGAATCACCGAAATTTGGTCAAAGACTATAACTTGATTTTTTGAATGACATAATATGTTTTAGAGGAGAGGACGTGTTTTTTTTCCAAAGTAAAAGATTAAAAAGAAATGCTTTACAGCCGTTAAATTTCTGATTAGCATAATACTTAAATGATGTGGAATGAAGGGATTAGGGTTCCAGAAATTAAACATACCATTGGTGGAATATAGGTATTCCCCCTGCACGTCCTTGCAATGTATGTTGATATTGGGAATGTGGGAGATCTTGGACCATTCGGGGCCCCTTTTGGCGCATCTTTCCTTCAATTTCGGACAACCCCAAATTCTAAGATATTTTAAGTTGCAGAGGCCTCGCATGGCTTCAATAGAAGGCAGATGAGTCAAATTAGAGCAATTCCCAATCTCCAACCGATGAAGAGAAGAGAAGTCTCCCAACCACTCTGGCAAAGCTTCCAGGCCATTAAAGTCCACTAACCTCAATTCCTTGAGGGCAGTGAGATGTCGAAGCTGATGTGGCAGAGAAATTAGTTTATCCCATCCGTACAAGATCAATAATTCAAGCGAGGGGTGGAATTGATGAATGGAGGTCAATCCAGGGAATTCCTCCAACTCCGACCAAAAAGGACCAAGGCTTAACTTCTTCAAGCGGGTGAGGCTATCTAGCCACTCCTCTGGAAGGCTCCTTAGATTTTTGCAATCTGCTATTACAAGAATACTGAGAGAACGCAATTGCTTGATATTGTCAGAAATGGAAATTAAATTACGGCAAAATTCAATTTTCAACTTCTGAAATGAAATGCAAGAGTCCAGCCCAATTGAAAGACACGTTAATCCATCGCAACTACCAAGGAAGAGGTCTTCAAGAGATGTCAACCCATTCATAATTGGAATGCAGTTCAGATTTCGACAATATTCAATTCGCAAGAACCGAAGAGAGATGCAGGATCCAAGCCCAGTTGGTAGACTTGTTAATCCATTATTTTCCGTGAGCTCAAACCTTTTAAGAGTTGAGAGCCCATCCAAACCAGGGATAGCCATCAGTTTCTCACACGACTCTATCTGCAGCATAGAGAGCTTATGATGAGATGAAAATCCGCCCATCAACCAAGTCTTCAACAAAGGACAATGAGAAATCCCCACATCCTCAAGGCAAGGAAACACGATCACACCTTGGCTCCCTACAGCTGCATCCTCAACAACTTCAACCCATTCTTCTAGCCTTCCCATGTAATATACAGTGAGTGTTTTCAAAGCTGGGAACAATCTGATTGATTCTGCTCCGCTAGGCTGAAGCTTGTGACCCATTCTTCTAACATTATGCATTCTTCCAATGTAAAGAACCTTGAGAAAAGGCAATAGTCCCAAACTCGGAATACACGTACACTGATTGCAATCACTTAACTGCAACTCCACCATGTTGTCAAGAAGGAATGATGAACCAAAACTATTGATATCATTCCCCATCCAAGATGGGAACATCTTTCCTTTGTAACCATCAATAGTAAGGCTTTTCAAATTTGAATGAGGTTGAAGGCTTTCTAGAACTTCTTCATCGTTGTTGTTGACTGCTCCTTCATAGTATCTACTCCAGTGTAATTTCAATTGATGCAATTTTGCCTTTTCTTTCAGGTTTGCTTTAGAAGCTTCCAATTTAGATCTGACATGTTCAAGCTTCCAAATCTCTAGTTTTCCTCCAAGTTGTCTTAAGCATCCAAGGTCTTCAATCCGGCATCCCTTTTTTGTGCCCACAACAAAGTATGATAATGTTCGAAGGGAAGTTAACTGCATGATCGATATATTACTTGCACCACTAGAATAGATATGCCTCAAGCTGATGAGATTTGCCATGCCATTGGGAAGCTTTCTAAGATTAAGGCTGTCAACAAAATTTGAAGTCTGCAAATTATAGAGCTTGGAGAAGGATTTTGGTATTGTTCTGACATTAGTTTTTGAGATGTCAAGGTACCTCAAATGCTTCAATTTGCCGAGAGAAGCTGGCAACTTTTTCCAACCTCCCTCTAATTTCAAGGATCGCAAGCTTTTGAGATCTGACGCCATGCTACAAAAAACATCAACATCTGAAAACAAAGAATGCAGCCTTTGAGCAACACTTCTTGGAATGGTTTGAAGATCCTGTCCCTTGGACTTGACTCTCAAATGTCGAATGGTACTACAATTCTGAACATCAAAATTGCAGCTAGTGTCCCAAACCAAGGTCTTACCTTTTGAAACAAGCAATGAAAGATCATGCACTAGATCATGCATTTTGCAAGATTCAATATTCCCATACAAATCCCATCCAATATCTTGGAATA